AATCAAACGGAGCGCGCCGCTAACAGTCGCGGAGCGTCAATAAATGTCGCCAAAACGTTCGTTTGGGGCCATATTTTTATTATTATTGGCCCATTACTTGTTAGAGGACGTTTCGCAATCGCGATAACTTTAGTTGTGGCCCTCGAAACTCGTTTATTGTTACGAAGAAAGGGCGAGTGGACTTCGCAAGTGGTTGATTCCGTGCATTAAAATTGTGTTTTTTGTTTGATTTAAGCTTTCAAATGCAGTGTTCTTTCAGCGACAAGAAATAATACGATGTTTTTTTTACTGTGAAAGAGTTTTTAAGTCATAAAATTCGGCAAAACTTTAAAGAATCTAATTAAGTAGAATTAAGCTAGAACTCTACACACAATGAAAATCCTAATCCTATGTACAAACAAGAAGAAGAATAAATTAATTATTATACGAGTACGTTCTTGTTGGTAATAATATTACCTCTTACCTATTGACTATAAAACCCATTTTGTGTTCCCTCATGCAGCAGAACACTCAAAAATAGGGCGAAAATCGACTCTGGCGATAATGAAGTCCCGTTCCTGCAGTAATTACTGATCGGAGCCATTGTTCGCAGATAGAGCATGCTCAGGGGTGAGTAATCCTGCCCTGTGCTTCAAGAATGGTTTGGACGATTGGAATTTAACAAGATAGTGGGGAATCGAGGGGGAATTAAGAAGCAGTTCCCTTTTGGTGGTTGGTGGAGTCATGTTCACGTACGCGTCAATAAAACCTTTGCTTGGCCAATAAAAAATCGATTAAGTACCAACTAAAAATACAAGAATATAGTTAACCATTTAAATATATCGTAATAATTTTCTACTATTTTCACACGAGTAAAGAAAAGCTACTACGAGTTTATTGTGAGGACGCGTGTATGTATATTACTCCTTCACGCAATAACAACCTACTGAACGGACTTTGATGAAACTTTTCAATTAAGTAACTTATACTTCAAATAAACACATAGGCTATAATATTAATTAAAATGTACACGAACCAAATCACAGTAAAAAGCTAGTATGACATGATATCTTACAAACCTAACCAGCCTGCATCAATCATAGTGCATTCAACACGCGATCTCTCCACTTCCTCACTTGCATATATTTTCTAGTATTTCTGCTTTTTCTAACGACATTCGCGAGCTAAGAAAGTGCAGAGCCTATTGCAGGTTGTGGTGATGGCACAAAAAGTTACGCCGCCTATTTGGAGTTGGCTTCAAACTGGATCACTGGACAGGTAAGGTGCTAGAGGCTGAGGGTGGTTTGTGAGCGATGAACTACAAGACTGTGATGGTCCTACTACTAGTACCTACCTTTTAAAGAAAAACATACACACAGCTGGAACAAGAATTAAGTTTTTCAGGAGAGTTGAGTTCACAATCACCAGTGTTATATTATCATGTTTTTACACCCACACACAGTAGGTATTAATTGGTAATTTCGTCTAGACTAACTTTAATGTGAGTTCGTTCGTTTCAGCCAAATGACGTCCACTGCTGGACAAAGGCCTCCTCCAAGGTTTTCCACAATGCACGGTCCTGCGCTGCCCGCAAATGTGAGTAACTGGTTTCAACAACTTGGATTTCGAGCAATATCTAAGTCACAAAACTTTAAAAAAAAACTCACTTACCGACTCTATCCTTCATGCATGCTCCCTCTACTCCACTCTAAAAAAACACAATACCTTGTCACATCACATTCCATACCGCAAAATAACTAGTCCTTTCTCGAAATAAGTAAGTTACTAAGAAACCAAATAAGTAGTAATTGGAACAAACTGAACAACTGCCCTCTGGTAGTCAAACCACGGCCGTACCACATCCTATGATGTTCCGAGCACGTGCGGCGTAGTTTTAGCGCGGCTGCGGGTAGATATTGCACTTTAATCTGTTTACTATGGAAATGCTGAATGCGACTTTGAAAAAAATGCTTACTTACAGCTCAGCAGCTGAAGAATATACTGCATACTTTTTATAAGGAATATTTGCCGATATTGAGCTCGTATTATGGCATAGCCCTTTCTACTATGCTGAACAAATTAATAATTTTTAAGGCTGAGTTGCACCTGAAATAAGTACATACTGTTATAGGGAATTATTACTACTAACGTAAACATAATTAAAATTATAAATAAAAAAAAAGGTCTTCAATCTGCATGAAAAAACCAGTGAAATTGGACAAAAAAAACGAGACAGAACGAAATGCACGCGGGCGAAATACAAACTGCTTTAACATTATTTTGTGGTAGCTTGTTGTGCCGTTGACTGTACCTTGAATAAACAAATACTCGGAATCGCTTGCAGTTTGCTCAAATAACAATCGAGAACTTTTACTCGGAAGTCGAGATCGATAAGCCGAGCTCACTTATCAATCTCAATTATAGCTCGGAGCCTCGACAGCGTGAAACTTTGCTTTGGAATAATTCTCGAATTAGGTATCAGGTTGAGTAATAATGTATAGTAGGTTAATAAGATTTCATATTAGATACGCAGACTTATTTATTTCATTGATATTGTATACCTACTTTAATTACGATTCACAAGGTGGACCGACGACATCATAAAGGTTGCAAGGCGTTGGACGCAGGCCGCTACCAACCGGGCAATGTTCAGCAGTGGACAATTAATTTATTTATTGCCTTTCAGTAATTAAGTTCAAATAATACTGAGATGTCATCCAAAAGGCATTAGGTGCGATTTATTTATTTTTTTACTTTTCGATGAAAAAATGTATCTTCTAGAATAGTATCTCTAAATTTTTTTATTTTTGCAATTACTTAGGCTTTTAAAAGCTCTTTTATTGATAAATAAATTGTACAAATAAAAGTTATTCCCGATTTATGCTGTTAATTAGTGTCGTGTCTTAGGCATTATGAACGTTATTTACTCACGTTATTTATTAGTAATAAATATTATTATTGGATATAAATTATAAATTCAGCTGAATAAACATCACATTGCCATTAAAATCGTGGGCAAAAAACGCATTAATTACCCTTTACCCTTTATACTTTCATTAAATACCAGAAACACCAACGCACAATCCATAGCAATTATTTGTTTAGCACGACGGCCATGTTGTTTTTCACACTTAATTAATATAATTAAAACGATGCGTGCGTTTCGACACTTTCTGCTTAACGCCTCGCCCTTTCAATAAATTTCTGTTAAACCTAATATTTGAATTCGCAGCTAATTGTTTAGGAAAAATCCTGAAGCGGAAAAAATGTAGAGCATCATTTGGCAAATACACAGCCCTTTGAAGAGTTGGTAGAGTGCTGGCTGTCTTACACAAGTGTTGATAAACTAAATAAAGAGGTATGGTAGGCGTTTGTAGGCTTACCTCGTAAATGATATCTAAATGATTTTGTAACAAACATGAAGTCTGATGTGAGTTTGTTTACCTTAATATCTTTTTTATTGGACGCAGCACTCTGACGCAGTCACGCAGCGTGCGTAGTGACTACAAGTGTTGGAGGCTGTGGTGTGTAGTTCAATTTTGTATTTAATTAAAAAAATATACGTGACAAAAAGAGTTCGCAGTCGGTAGGATTCGAACCTACGCTCCCAGAGGGAATCTGATTTCTAGTCAGACGCCTTAACCGCTCGGCCACGACTGCTGATACAAAAAAATCGAAATTAAAGCTTTTAAGCTTGGTCGTATATCTGAGACATTTATTATTATGTCATCAAAATCATCTCTCTTTCAGTAGTCAAACGATTAACGAATGAAGAAAAACCTAGCAATTAATTATTTATAACTAGAGCATCATCTTTGGCTAGCCACTTCTCAGTCCTAGTTACTCCCAGTGCCAAGCTAATTGACTACCTAACAAGTTAATGTTATTTATTATGTTGACTTTAAAAACGAAAACAATAGAATTCCTACTTAAATATTATTCAGTTTTCGCAATGCCTAATAGTATTTTACAGAGCTTATAAACAAACCGTAAGCATAAGGTAAGCTCATCATACAAAACTATGTAGGTCAGTCCCAAAACTATTTATTTAATATGCTAGTCAATTTATATTAACTAAGTACTTACATAGTAGGTACTACGTTATCATTTAATTACATTAATCAATGAACTTGTGTCCACTACCGCCACCTCTTATAATAACAGGTAAACTGGAAAGTATGGACGAACGTATCACTCGCGCACACGTTACGCTTACAAGAGTGAGCAATCTTACTCTGCCTTAATTTCGTCCCGTCCACACGTGGCGCCGTGGCTTAGTTGGTTAAAGCGCCTGTCTAGTAAACAGGAGATCACGAGTTCGAATCTCGTCGGGGCCTACAGTTGAGATTATATTTTTGTTTTTGTTTCATGAGTTTTTTTTTATTAATCTTTGTACGTATATTAATAGAAGAATAATGTATTTACGTTTCTTTCTCAATATTTGTTTTAAAGATTATCTTAGTTGTTAAAATGCTTTTATGATTTTGCTAGGATCAAAATAAATAATTTATTTTTATTTAAGCTTAAGGAGGAAAGGATAAGGTAAAGATAAAAATCAATTTCTGAAATTTACTCGTATATTCACATTTCTGTTAAATTATAATATTTAATTATTTACACATGTACAAACATTACAAGTAACCGCCCCAAACAACAAATACTTTGACTGAATTATTCATAGTTTATTGATAAACATAAGTAATAATAGTAATAAATTAGAAAGGTCAGATAATCAGATTAGATTTTATTATCTATTTTATTACAACTTGTAAAATTATTTTATATACATAAAAGGCTGTCTCAAATCAATATTAATTAATTGAACGGAAAAATCAATTCAATTATATTGTCATCACTCTACGGCAAGTTAAAGAAGCTTAAAATAGAAAGAGTGCTTTCTATGTGCAATACATAGGGTTTCAAATTGGTACACTCGGGGCTTAATTACGTCATCATATCTCAGTAGCATTCTCATTTAAACATTTAGAAATTGTAAAAAAAACGTACAGGTATATTTATTCAGTGAAATTAAGTACGTTTTAGTAGAAAAATATAAATACGAGAAATAAAGTTTGTCTCACGAGAATCGCCCACGGTGTTAAAATTGTTCCCCTAACTTTGCAAAAGAAAGTCTTTAAAACATACCATGTTTTAAATATTTATTTATCACATACATTACTTACTAGTAAAGTGGTGGGATGTGATGATAGTAACGCTATAACTGTATTGAAAAAGGCATTTTATACATAACTACAATAAGTATTGAGTATACTAGAAGTCGTCATAATGTTAATAAATTGATGCTATTCCAGTCTTAATGAGTAATTTTATAAACCAGTTGAACACTTATAAACATCTAAATCTTTCATAAAATCTGAGGCACATTCAATATACGTATTATACAGTACAATCGTGTATTAATAATATTTACAAATACTCTCTTATTCTAATATGGCAGTATTGAGGTTTCAAACAATAATTACAATACTCGAAGCCAACGTTACACGCTTCTGGTTATCATCTGGGTTGGAGTGTCAAAAGAAATATTATTTTAAGTCACAAACTCACAAAAACGTAACATTTATCATTGGCAAACATTTGAGAACACTTAAAACAATACTTCAATTGTGCTTAAAATGTACAAGTACGAACACCAGAAACGTGTGACGGCGACGCGGAGTGGATCATAAATAAACTCTAGGAATTCACATTTTAATAAAAACGTTTTTATAAAAATCAGTCTCTTTGAAAATTTTCACTTTACTCCCGCACAACGTGAAAACAAAAATCACAATCACTAAAAGTCACTGAAGATCTTGTGCTATACGATAAGGCCTCTTTTGTTATGTCTCTAGAAGATTATCTCACTTATTTGACTTTCACTTTTAGTTATTGTCGTCTTTGGGATGTCTTTTTAGTGATAACGGAATGGTTTAGACGAATCTAGTGAGCTGCGTGTGGAAGTCCCGAAGGAAGATCTGGAGCTGAGGCAGCGTGGGCCGGTCGTCGGGAGACATGGCCCAGCAGTATGCCATCACTGCGAACCTATAGGAAAACATTCATATGTAAGTAAAACTGGTAAAACTGAAAACCGTTGTTAACTCTGACCAATTAATAACACTCAGTCGCCTTCATTAAGACTTAAAAAGCTTGTACGTCATTAACAAGTTGGGTTTTTATTATATTTTTCACATTAACACCTTGGCATCGCGTGAGCTTATTGACCGCCGTGTCTGTTAACACGCATGTCGTTAATCAATAGACAATTATCATTATCATTCAATAAGTATTGCCACATATATTAGTCTTCTTTTCAATACGAATATACAGAAACGGAATGTCAAGGTGTCAGGGGACCAATTAGTGACCCCTCGATAAACCAGGAATTTAAACCAAGTGATTTTTCGAGAAAATTCAAAAAATATTCAAAAGATTAGCAGAAATCTTCTACTGTGGGGGCAACAACAACAAAACTGAAGACAATATTTAAATGGTTTCTTTCTAGGAATCGAACCCACAAGGAAACTCTTCACTACTTCTCGTACACATCAGATGTTAACAAAACACAATGAAACAAAAGACTACTTACAGTTCATCAGGGCAGTTCGCCGGCTGCTGTAACCGGTAGCCGTCCCTCAAGTACGCTGCCACTTCGAAAGGGTCCACCTCCGCATAGGGCTGGTGGGCCAACGTGGTCAGTTCCCATAGAAGCACCCCTAGCGCCCATACGTCAGCTGCGGGGCTGAACTGCCTCTTGGTCAGAGATTCTAGCGCCAGCCACTTGATGGGCCGGTTCTCGTTGTCGCCTAAGCAGTGGTAGTCTGCCGGGAATAGGTCCCGCGATAACGCGTTGTCGGCGATCATCACGCGGAGATTTTCGTCCACTCTGTTGAAGAAAGGAGCTCGTTACTAAGATGCCACCTAAACTTGTCTAACAACATACATGAGTGATCTTATAGGCTTAAGAGCTTAAATTTTGAACCAAAAAATATCAGCAAAACGAATATCTAAATGTTAAAAGGTAATTTGTTAGCAAGGATTCCATACTCACATGCAATTCCTAGCAGCAATGTCTTTATGTAAGACATGCTGTGAATGTAGATACAGTAGTCCATCCAACGCATGGAGCGCCATCCGCACCACATGTTGGGTCGTCAGCGGCGGAGGCGGCGCTCCTCCCGCCGCCCCTCCCACCGTCACTCCTCGGCAAGCCAACAGAAACTGCTTCAGGTTCCGCCAGCTAGCGCCCCAGGGGTATAACAAAAACGGAGCTGTCTGATCCTCTATGCTGACCCCAAGAACCGACAGCACTCGCTCGTGATGTAAGCCATACAGCATACAACCTTCTTGTAGAAGTAGTGACACCTAAAAAGAAAATGTTGTGTTACAAAGATTCGTAAGTACAGAATACAGATCATCAATGTATTATTACGAAAATGACTTTTGTTATTTACCTGCACTTGAGAAGCGTGTTCAGCAACAGTCTTAACGAGCACTTCTTGCTCCCTAGCATCTTCATCTGCGTACGTTCCTCTATAAACCCGTCCAAACGTTCCTTCCATCGCCACTGAGCGTAGCCGCACTCGACATCTTTGTATGGTGAGCTCTGCTATCCTCTGCTGCAGATCTCTCGCTCTCTCTTCAGCCGCTGCGGCGGGGAGAGATGTTGGGCGACGGTAGCTGGTATAACTGGCGGCGGACTTACAAGACGAATCAGGTAGAAATGCGTGGGCGTCTTGTTCATCGCTGCGAGCTCTTCTGAGTTTCCTAGCTCGAGCTCTACACGCCGCGGCTGCCACTGCTGCTATCAGTAGTGCGCCGCCAGCACAACCAGCTCCCGCGTAAAATATATCTGCAGAGGTCTGTGCGTGAGGAACGCTGTCCACTCTGACGGCCGGACGAGGCGCGTCCTTCAAACATATTTTCCTTCGACGAAAATGTAAGGTAGTAGACGAGGAACCCGTCGAGACGTTCAGAGAAATTGTGATGTCAACCTCCGCAGCGACTGTGTGTGTACACGGCAAGGTGACTTGCCAAGTCTGCGGTTCCGTGGGCACGAAACCCTCCGTCGAAATGTTAAATTCCGGCGTGTGCATTGCTTCGGAGTGATTTACTACTTCCACGTGGAGGGTGTATGGTAACTGCAACAAAAAACATATTGTTAATGCGAGCCCGAAATGGGTGTTTGCGTTCGTGAAAACATGCTGCATTCCTAACGGATGTCTCATCACGATATAACAGTATCAGTTCGTGCAATTGACGTACGACAGCACGCCAAGTGACCCTAAATGGTGTGCGGCGGTGTATATGGCAGCGTCAGCAGAGATCAAATGTCGACTGTTGCCCACCGGGAGATCACGACTGGCGCTCCTTTTACTACTTATAACGAACACTTTTACGGGAACTTTACGCCTAGGTATTTAGTAACAACACTTTCCTGTTGCTATATTTGCACATAGCCACATAATATGCAAACGTAGCCGCGGACATGTGATCGTTCAATGCGCTTTATGTTTCCCTTATGTGAATGACGTGCGTATTATCACACGCAGCGGCGAGCTTAGCAGATGGTTTGAATAGTTTATCTGCCTGAAGCTCGCCGAGTCTAGTTAAATATTGTGGTCATGTCATGGGACGGTCATTATCAAGTTAATCACAGGCCGTGTGCCGCGGCGTTTAAACAAACATTATTCGCCGCGGGCCCTTTGGCCGGCACCTCGGCGCATTAGAGAAGCATCGCGACTTGTGAGCGTAGGTGCGACAGCGAAGCCGCTAATTAAATATTATCACTCGACAGTCGGTGAGTACAGACAATGGCGCGATCGCTCATCGGCGCTAGTTAACAGGTTACCAAATATTTGCTCTAGTCAAAGGCGCCGCCGGGCAAATAAGGGAGTCGAGAGCCGGGGGCCGATCTGATAGCGCCGCCCGAAGCCGCCGAGATGCCGATAAGGGCCAGGCCGCGGGATCGCAACCGCAGCATATTCCTGACCTTTTACTTTTTAAAACGCTAAGCGAATCTTAATAAATCCAAAAAGTATTACACCATTATAGAATATATCCAGACGAGAACACACATGTCCCTGAATACATTCGAATCGAAACGACTCGGGCTTCAAAAAGCGTTTTCTTATGACTTGCAAATACCGTCCTAAATAAGCAGATGTTTTATTGACAAGAGCACTGAACTCGTTTTCGGGTTCTCGCTTTTGAAATGTGAACGTTGAAACCGTTTGTGCGTCGCTTCTGCCCAAATCGAATGTAACGAGCTCGTCTCGCAGCATCGCCGGAGTACAGCCGCCGCATAAAATAAATAATGCACATAATATTTGGTTAGTGATGCAGGGCACAGGATGCAAAGCAAATAAAAGAGGCGATGCATCGTGATTCGCCGCCGGATTATTTGCATAGGAGGCGGTCTAATTTGAATTAGAAATATACAAATGTAAAGACGAAAATAAATATCCGGCTAATCAATCAAACGTTGGACAGGGTAAAATCCATGGGCAAACTGCCAAGCAAGATTATTTGGTTGCTCGGTGCTGTTATCAGGACATTGTGATATCGGATGTCGGTGCTACCGTAGAATTACCATATGAATGAGTTGTTTGCGAAGGCGAGGGCAAACAAGCTAACTTGGACGCAGAAAAAATAAACTTGCCTTCTTTCTTCCTGCCTTCACAAGTTAATTACGGCTGCGGAAGTTAGAGAGAGGATGCGGAGGAATCTTGTCTATAAAGTACATAATTGAAGATGCGGTAAAAAATCTCAGAAAGTCGGGAGAAAAACTTGTTTCGAAGTGAAAACTTGCATTTGTTTAGTGCTGGCGTGCTCGGTGTAATCCGTACTCATTGATCACTTAGCATTCAGCTCATGCCGGAGTTTACCATAATGGTGCGATTGTTTCATAGAACTGATTGTTCAGTTTAAGCAGTGGAGGAGCCTCGTAATATATTGCTTTAGACTTTTAAATGTCTTACCGGACGAATGCACATAGCGAAAGAATACCTGACGAGTAACGAACAAAAAGCTGCATGCATCTACGTTTATATCTGCAGGTATTTCAAGTGGTCATGTACTGAGTAATAAATAAATGAATAATAGTCTGTCAATGTCTCGGATTGTCTCATACCGAGTTTTTTTATATCAATACGTGGCATGTACAAAGTTGATGATATGGCATCGTCATATTTGGTCAGATGATCCATAAATCCAGAAGCATTTTATAGTCCATTGATAATTTGTATTAAAAGAATGGCGAGAAGAATGTTTTGAAGGTGTGTTGCGTAAAAAGGTAACTCTGAATTCTGAAAACGCACTGGCTAAACGGTAGCGTTGAACTATAGAAACTCAACCTTAATTTTCTCAAGTCCTGAATTTATCGGGCATTATAACCCGCCATAGGTCTCCATCATTGCTCATTGGCATTAGCCAATACCCACCTTTACCAGAACAGTCTCTAACAAGAAACATATTTACTGGGAGGTCTCTATCTAAAATAGTGACTGAATTTCTTGCGCTGCTTCTTCTCAGCACTGGCCCATTTATTGTCCCGAAGCAGTAGTAGTTTCAATACTGGGACGTGTAAAACTGCTTTTTAAAAGCCTATTTGCAAAAAATAAATGAGATTTATGAGATTTTTCAACCAGAATTTTTTAACTCTAAACCAGTGGTTCTTAACCGGTGGTCCGCGGACCACTGGTGGTCCCTGGAAACATTCCAAGTGGTCCACAAAGTGCACTTGCACACCTAGGTTAAAACTAGAGATGAAACGGAGAGTTGTTTGGCCGGATACCGGATACCGGATATCCGGCCAGCTGCTAGGCCGGATAGCCGGATATCCGGCGGCCGGATAGTTGGCCCATTGTCTCGTTGCATGTCGTGACGAGTTTAGCGACGCACAGGTGCTTCGAACGCGAAAATCGAATCCGTCCGAATAGAATGTCAGATTTTGCCACTTGTCTAGGGGGCAGATCAATTCGGGTGATTTCAGTTGTTATAGCGAGTGTGTGATTGAATAGCGAAAATTAAATTAGTTTACTTGCTGCGTAATCTGACTGAACTGCATGCATCATATCACCAGAGACCAGATTATGAAACCAGACCATCAGTGAAAAAAAGATCGCCTTTTTTATTTGGCAATATTTCGACATTAACATAATTATGTTTACTATCTTTGTATTCGTCATTAGAGTGATTAGCCCAGAAAAAATAGAATTTTGAAAGGCCTTATTATGGCTTTTTTGTAACTTTTTGGACCTTAAATAAAAGCCGTCATTATTATAAGCCATTTCATTGATATTTACCTCAAAGATTAAAGTATTTCATTTTATGAATAGGAAAATGTCGTAGTTTTTTAATATCCGGTATCCGGCCGGATAGTAAATTTATTCCGGATATCCGGCCTACCGGATAGTTACCGGATATCCGTTACATCTCTAGTTAAAACCACTTTTCACTGATTTTTGCAGTTAAACGGGTTTTGACCGATTATGAGGTGGTCCCTGACAAGACAGAAATTTGGTAAAATGGTCCCTCATGACTTAAAAGGTTAAGAACCACTGCTCTAAACAAATAGTTCTGCTTACCGGTCTCCTGGTGAGGCTCTGCCACGTAAAGTGCAGCTCGCCGATGGTTGCCGGCACCGGCACCACGAAGTTGAGGGCGTAGAAGTTGATCTGCCCGTCCCGCACGTAGAACAACTCCGCCGTAAGTCCTGGGGGAGAAGGTTCACAATTAGTAAACTTTTCAGAAGCAGAACAGTACAAGCAATAACACATAGCCCTCCTTCTTTAATCGGGTAAAGACTGGTTATTGATTACCATGGCATTTGTTTCATATTATTATACGACAGTTTAGTACGAACTATGTCCATGACACACCAAGTAAGCCACTCTATCAATGGTTAAGTCATACTAGACATCAATTTTCCAACTTAAATGGACTAAGTACATAGTCTGATGTGCAGTCCACGTTACTCAATTAACACAAAAATACAAAAAATACAAAAAATAACAATACTGTTTTGTTGCTCATTAGGGGTATGTTTAATGTCATAACATGCAATGCAATACGATAAAGTGTGGTGATTAATTAATGAATTCATGGACTATTGGGTCAAACGTGTTTAGTTATAATAACATGTCATTACGAATTGATAAGACCTGTGTTTAGGAATATGATACATAATTAATTACATTAATTTTGTAACACTTGCTTATTTATGTAAACTACTAATGGAAATAACTGTCATATTAATTATTTATTTCTTGTATGTTTATAATAGCATAGCCTGCCAACAAGTAATTTTACAGAAGTTTATTCTACAACTTTTTGTAAAATTGCTAAACCTACCGGATCCTATAACAACAATGGTGTAATAAGAACTCGTTTGTTTAGCATTTGAGAGGGCAAAGAACATGAAATCCAGTCCACAATACACCCATTGAGAGATCGAGTCCAAAAATCAGTTCGCATCAATAACACGCGGAATCGCGGCAAAAAGTTGAAAGCGCACGCGCACAATGCGGCGAGATCAAAGCGCGCGCGCACAAAGGTGCCGCAACCCGACGCCCGCGCCACCTGCCCTGTACGATAACCATGGGAACTAACGAAAAACTTTGGTAAAAACATCTCTAATACGATCAATTGGGGTATAAAGTCTTATGTAGAGCTAGCCAGCCGTAGAAGCTAAAGCTCATTGAAGGAAAAAAAAATGCGAGATGGTCGATTCGCTGACTATAGCGTGTAGTTATGGCTGAGATCTCGGAAGACCTGGGCGCAATGTTCGATGGCCTCAGTAGAGGCTCTCCTCAATATGTGAGCCTCAAAATAAACATGAACGAGACGAAAATTATGTCAAATGTAATTTTGCACCCACTCCTCTGAAGGTTAGACTCTACACTCGATTATTACTTGGGACAAAGAGTCAAGTAAAATCGGTCTAATTTCTAAAATTGGATCAATCTTCGAATCTAACTCTGCTTCGGGAAGCTTTGAGGCATCTTCATTTTTCTCGTCCAAACTACAGCTACGTCTTGTATGGCGANGTGTAATTTGTATTAAAAGAATGGCGTGAAGAATATTTTGAAGGTATAATATGACGTCGTGTACATTATGGGTAATTAGGTATAGTGTGTCGCGAAAAAAGGTACCTAACTCTAAATTCTGAAAACGCACTGGCAAAACTGTGGGCAAAACTACAGCGTTGAATTAGAAAACGATTTTAAAAGTTAAGCTGTAGTAGGTAGTAAGTCTAAGTACTAACTATGTACTAGAATTAAAGTTCAATTAAGAATTGAACACTGTGATTGTCATTGGAGTTAAATCTCTACAGGTCTTCTTATTGAGATTTTCATAAATTGAGAGGGAATTGATTAGAACTTGAAATCTATTATTTTCGTCATGTCCTGAATTTATCGGGCATTATATCCCGCCATTAGGTCTCTATCATTGCTCTTTGGCATTAGCCAGTAGTGCCAGTACCCAACTTTACCACGACAGTCATCTACCGTTACTTTTAAACTGTAGGCTGGGTTGCACCATCTTTCTTTAACAAACGTCAAAAATCTGTCAAACTCCATCCATCACCGGAAAACATTGGGGGAGGCCTATGTTCAGCAGTGGACGTCCTATGGCTGAAATGATGATGATGACTCAGCCTAAACAAATGATTCTGCTTACCGGTCTCCTGGTGAGGCTCTGCCACGTGAAGTGCAGCTCGCCGATGGTGGCCGGCACCGGCACCACAAAGTTGAGGGCGTAGAAGTTGATCTGCCCGTCCCGCACGTAGAACAACTCCGCCGTAAGTCCTGGGGGAGAAGGTTCACAATTAGTAAACTTTTCAGAAGCAGAACAGTACTTAACAAGCAATCTATACTTATATTATAAATGCGAAAGTAACTCTGTCTGTCTGTCTGTCTCTCTTTCACGCCTAAATCACTGAACCGAGGCATAGAGATAGTTTGGATCGTTTTTATCCCGGTTTTTGAAACAGGGACGCGCGCTATAAAGGTTTTCTCTGACAGACAAAATTCGACGCGGGCGAAGCCGCGGGCGGAATTCTAGTAAAACATATCATAACCCTTCTTCCTTAGTCGGGTAAAAACTGGTTATTGATTACCATGGCATTTGTTTCATATTATTATACGACAGTTTAGTACGACGAACTATGTCCAATGTCCATGACACACCAAGTAAGCAACTCTATTTGATGGTAAAGTCATACTAGACACTAATTTTCAAACTTAAATGGACTAAGTATACATAGTCTGAAGTGCAGTCCACGTTACTCAGTTATCTTTAATACAAAAAATAACAATACTGTTTTGTTGCTCATTAGGGGTATGTTTAATGTCATAACATGCAATGCAATACGATAAGCGTGGTGATTAATTAATGAATTCATGGACTATTGGGTCAAACGTGTTTAGTTCTAATAAGATGTCATTACGAATTGATAAGACTCGTGTTTAGGAATATGATACATAATTACGTTAATTTTGTAACACTTGCTTATTTATGTAAACTACTAATGGCAATAACTGTCACATTTATTATTTATTTCTTGTACGTTTAAAATAGTATTTTTCCAAGAAGTTTATTCTTCAAGTTTTTGTAAAATTACTAAACCTACCGGATCCTATAACAACAACTGTGTAATAAGAACTCGTTTGTTTAGCATTTGAGATGGCAAAGAACATGAAATCCAGTCCACAATACACCCATTGAGAGATCGAGTCCAAAAATCATTTCGCATCAATAACACGCGGAATCGCGGCAAAAAGTTGAAAGCGCACGCGCACAATGCGGCGAGATCAAAGCGCGCGCACAAAGGTGCCGCAACCCGACGCCCGCGCCACCTGCCCCGTACGATAACCATGGGAACTAACGAAAAACTTTGGTAAAAACATCTCTAATACGTTCAATTGGGTATAGTGTCTTATGTAGAGCTAGCCAGCCATAGAAGCTAAAGCTCATTGAAGGAAAAAAAAATGCGAGATGGTCGATTCGCTGACTATATCGTGTAGTTATGGCTGAAATCTCGGAAGACCTGGGCGCAATGTTCGATGGCCTCAGTAGAAGCTCTCCTCAATATGTCAGCCTCAAAATAAACATGAAAAGACGAAAATTATATCAAATTATAATGTTGCACCCACTCCTCTGAAGGTTAGACTCTATAGTCGGGACAAACAGTCCAGTCCTGTTAGATAAGTCCAATTTCTAAAAATAGATCAATCTTCGAATCTAACTCTGCTTCGGGAAGCTTTGAGGCATCTTCATTTTTCTCGTCCAAACTACAGCTACGTCTTGGATTCAGTGTCTCAAGACCACAGTCTTTCCCTAATGTGTTGCCAGTAATTACTTAATTATAATTTATGATAATTACAAGCCCAACATGACGCCAAGTGCATTGCTTATTTATTCACGTTCACTATTAATAGTGTTATTAGTTGCTATGAATTATTACGATATGGCGACAAGGCTCCTAATATGTCCCTCATATGGCCACTTAAGTGGTTCCGCTGAAGTACTTAAGTTTTTCCCTTCTCGGTAAGGACTAAAATATGAAACATTATGGCCATGAGTTGACTATAACTAGCTCTGGTATCGAGTGGCTACATATCAGGACCAAGAAACGGCAGTAGATAACCGGGTTTTACGACAACATTCATATTTATCATGGATGTTTATTATAATATTAGTTCGGACCGAGTAAAGTATCATTGTCTAATATAAGTGAACTGTAGAACCAATTACTGTGTATTTTCGCACAAATATCTAGGACAGAATAGGAATACCTGCTAAAATGTAGATTGATTTAAAATATATTGTAACAAAATATCCACCACCACCAATGGTAAACCAAAATGTTGCAGAGCGGGCTCAGAAATACATATTTACGGTACTTGATGAAAGTAAAGAGAGAGTCGTTAAATTTTTCTTTATAACAAGATAAGGGGTTCAACAGGATTCCCCAGACGTTAAATTGTAACGTACACCACATTAAACGGATTTCTGGTGCCCATGTGGCGCTTCAATCTTAAATATTTTTACTTTGCCCCTAAACAGTGTCGTGAACAAGTTTCATAATGACCGGTTCCACATAAATAAGGAAACAGGATCCACGTTGCTGCCCATCCCGCAGTCAGATCGGTGTTAATAACACTATAATCGTTAAATATTAATGTCCTATCTAAACATGTTTGTACATTTTCCACGATATTACACCCACATGCAAATGAGACGCCGAAACGGTCATGCGTGCGATTAAATTAATAATTTTAACGCCGTTAACGGCTATTTGTTTATTCGAGAAGCGATAACCACGATTAACTGCTAACGAGCACAATATACCACAGTGTCATTCAATTTGCATATAGGTCGCAGCCGCCGCCTCGCCCGCGCTCGCATTATAATTCCAGATGCACGACTGGCCAAGCGACTTATGAAAGCTTGTTTGTAATAATTACTCACCTTTGTATTTTTAATTCCACGTATCTACACAACCAAATTGTTACTAACAAGCTAAGTAAATACCGGCTGGTATTATCAATGGTATCAGAGGAAGATCAGCACCACTGTATAATAAATTGTTTCCTAGAAACGTCCTCTCTAGTTTTAATAGCCGTTGAGCACGGAAACCCGCGGCACGAATCTACGAATTTTGATTGGGCAATAAAGATGTGACACAAGTTGCTCCGTAACATTCCCACATAGGTAATAAGTGGTTGCGGTGCTACCGTGCGCGGCGCCTTTGAAGCGGCCAGCAAAAGGAACGAGACCACTCGATGCGACAAATAACAAGAGATAACCAGCACCCGCCTCCGACGGCGCCCACTTTTTTTGCTTACATTAACTAATTTCTTAAAACCAAACGGCGCTTTTGAGGCTTATCGCAGATTTCTTTTAAACACCACTTGTATTTATATAACTGCCGAAGAATTATATTAATAGACTCCAACCCATTGTGCGGTGGAGGGCGGAGGAATATCGCGCGAAATCGCGTGTTCACTATTGACGCATTCTACATTCGCACCTCCGAATAAAGCTTTCATTACGTTCGTACAAAAACCCATTTGTAAGGAATAAAATAGAGCGACGAACAATGCCCGCTGATATTTCGTATAGAAAGTTCCCCTTCAAGGCGTTGGATATAAGGATTTTAGGGCACAACAGGGGCATTATTGTGGAATTATGCGGACGAGGTGTGCAAGGAAATAAAACAAAATGCAGGTGTCGGAGAAAATAAAGCGCAGAGTTATGCACTTCAGGCCGGAGGGTTCGCGTCGCCACTTCGCCACGGGGAAATCTCCCACATTTATTCAGATAGAAATGAATATACAATAAGTAAAGGCGACGAAGCAGCCGGAAAACCGCTAAATAAATAACTGAATTTTACAACTTTACCACATCCCATAACTACGCGTGATAATGGTTATCATAAAATGGGTATACGATGTGTTAAGAATAGTATTGGAGGCGTCGTAAAAAACTGTATTTAGGTAGAGCCTGTTGCAATGGCGACAGTTTTATAGGCTCTTTTACCGGAAAACATTGGCTTGATGACTAAGGGACAGCCCGGCACATGCCGCGGGCGACGACTAATCGACGCTCCGTACTATTAATCGCCTCGTTTGCCGTTGAAAAGCAGTGACTTCGTTGTTTTGAATGCCCCTCGATAGCAACAGTATAGTTTACATAGCGCAGACGCTCCCGCTTCGCCCGACGGAATTAGATGGTAGTAAATCTGCGAGTCCAGCTCACGAACCAAATTTGTCGTGCTTGCCGTAAACAGCTATAAATATTTTATTGAAATTCCCCAACGCACTAGGGATATCGTCGTTACTTGCACACGCTTACTCGTGCTGACAATTTAAATACCGCAAAGATACATCGAAACTAAACCTCAAATTATATTTCTACAAATCAATCGAACCGTTGCAAATTGCGTAATAGCATTTGTATAAAAATCCAACTCAGGTGTAGTCAGGTGTAAAACTTTGAGGTTTTCGGGATCAGCGTTCCGGAAGCGAAGCGGGTAACGTGATCCCTTATTGTTGGGCTGTCTGTCTGTCCGCTGGGGCTTTGTCGTTAACAAGATTTGCCCTTCGAACGGACGGTTCAAAGCCTATCCTCACAAAGGCCTCAGAATTAAGCCCTTGCTAAGGTGTGAAGACCTTAGGGACATTGTTTTGTATTTGTGGGCCACTTCTTTGATTTATATTACACATCAATCATTAAACTGATTCCTTTGAAAACGCTCGCTAGATATTTACGAGCCGTCTGTCTGGCAGACTTGTGGACCATCTGAGCCCATCTGCAGAGAAAACACCGTCTGGAAAGCTAGTTTTAGTCGTACTAATGAGTCTGGCCTCAGGCTACGCCGATTCTACATCGCTAAGCCAGACCTTTCTTGGGTAGCATTAATGTTAGAACAGCAGACGCTGTCGTCCTTTTGTCTCAATTGTCTGAATGTGCGACAAAGGGAAAAGATAAGTGAAGGGCACTCTAAGTAATAGACTCTAAGTGAGACAGAGGTAAAGAACCTTCTTTTCTTACAAATGTAAATACATTCGACCAACCACATCAATATAAAACAGAAAATTCATTCAGCGCTGATCTCTCTGCGTTTGCCATTTCCCAAAACAAAATCAAGGTGTATGGAGCAGCAGGCATTTCGAGGGTGCGAAGGAAGGAAGGGCACCATCTCGGGGAGGATAATGTGCGTAATAATCACCGCCATACTTCACCGCTGCGTTGTTACACATACCATTTACCCCGGCACCCCCTACATCGTATTTAATTACAC